TTGATGTTTCTGGCTGCAAGAAAACCTTTGTGCTAGTAAAAAAGAAATAAGGAAAATAACAATGACTCATTCTCAAGTGTACGTCTCTTTTGAATCTTGGAATATAATTTTTGGCATTAAAGTTTTTGAAGTATCTTGATGCGGTATTTATGATAGATTTTCTTATCCAGCTTCTCTATTCCAGATGGCTGCTAAACCCCTTACAAGTGAAGCTATTGCTCTTACAGAGAAGAAAATGAACATGACTTTAGGTGGGAATATTGGCATTCGTGCATCTTGTGGCACTTCTTCGGGTTACTTTGTGTTAATAAGTTACTTAAACTGCTATTTTTAACACAGATGATATTATCAAACTCTCCAAGAAACCTAAGAAGCAAAGAGTTTCAGTAAGAAATGCCCCTCTGACTTTGTGTTTATTTGCTTGTTTGACAAGAAGCTGTAAATGCCTTATTTTTGTACTTTTCTAATTGATTCCTACAGAATTGGAATCAGAAGTTTGTTAAAAATGCTGCCCAAGATAGATATGCTAAAGTTCAGAGATTCATTGACACAAGGTCATCTCTTAGACAGGTATATTACAAGCAAGAGAGTTTATTCCCTTCTTTTGGGGTGGGAGAGATTGAAGTTGTACTTCTTTCCTGGCTTTGCTTCATTTGGTATAAATTTATTATATTCCTTTTGTTAGGGCGCTCTTGATCGGAGGAGGTCAAACTTTCATGGGAATGAGTTCCATTTGGCAACTGAGGCTGCAAGAAAGGTTGCTGTTGCTCCTATCCACAACAGAGCTTATAGTCAAAGCAGGCCAGTTAATATGAATATACCCAGGTACTATATCAATTGTTTTTAATAGTGTTGTAAACCTGTTTTTGAGATTATAAATGAACTAGTTGGTGTGTACATGATACTTATTGTGGTCTTAGGTTAATGTAATATATGTTGATCGATTCAGGTAATTTGTGGTTCCTTGTAGATGACTGCGCCATTTGCCTCAGCTTTTCGTGATTTTTCAAAAGCATTTGGAACTCCTTTATTAGTTAGGGCGGGAGGGCATTGCCTGGGTGCTTATGAGTGTTTAATGTTGAACTTTTGACGTGAAAGGATATCCTTTAAGCTGTGCTATTTCTCTATATGCTGGAAGCTGGTTTTTGACTGCATGATGTCTAGAAAGGTTTATGTTACATTTTGGCTAGCCATCGAAGCAAAAGAAAAATTGCTTTGACATCGTGGGCTGGAGAATATATTTGACTAATGGGAGCTAACTGCAAGCAAAGAAGGTTGCATTCATGTCATAGCATTTGAAGTGGTGCATGTAGTTGGTTGTTGATCCAACATTGAATAGATCATAGTTGTATATCCATCTGCTGCAGTTATTTGGGTACTTCTCTGAAGTCACCTACCATTATTCGAAGATCTTTGTGTCAGTTGACTCATGTTTGAATCATTGTCGTATCTGAAGTTGTAATACCTTGGGTGATTCTCCGAGAGTTTGTTTGGATGAATTTTTTGGCAATTGATACGCCGATTGGCATGTTGTAAGTCCAGTTGATTAATATGTGCCATTTGCCCATTGTGCTCCACAATTGAGACTACTGTGAATGTCCTACATGATTGGAAGCGAAGTTGAACAGATGCACTGGTTTGCTGCCTTCTGTAGTGTTTATAGTCCAGGGTCTTATAGTAACCCGTCGAATTTTTTTTTTGTCTTAATGATGGTGTTTGGGATTTGTTCTAGTACTTAATTATGGTTCCTGCAGTAAATATTTATATTTGATGACATCTTTAAATGTGAATCTTTGAGGCCCCTGAACATGGCAACATGTGCACAAGACGA